ACCTGGTGGACATAATCGTGGTTCAAGGCCAGCACACAAGTACAAAGGCCAGACAATTCGTAAAGTGATCGTAATGCGTCATGCGGTCGCATAAACAAGGCATTAGGCTAATTGTCATGCTTCATCGATGTAGGACATTTGGCCTATCTTCAGGTATCTGAATCTCTGAATTCATAAGGAGATTGTTTGGATAGTGTTTACTGGGTAACCTTTGCAGAATAGAGAAGGGCGTTACTCCGCGGAAAGTTCCTTGCGTTCTTCATGTACGTGGCGCGTGCTCGAATTGGCCATCTGCATTTCTTCTATAAAGGCAACTTAACCACATTAGAATACATAATGCAATCGATGTTAGTGCTCAGAACGTTTCTAATCCGAAAATAGGGGTTGTGGCATCCCTAGACTTCCCTCCATGTTTAAGAAGTTATCACGTTTGGAGAGAATGCATGTTTTCCATGAGGAGAAGAAGAGGTATATCATTTTGCTTGGTCCAAATGTCAGCCCACGCATTTACTAGCAGTACGGACACCGAAGCATCCATCAGACAGCAGGTGTTCACACAAAAAGAAGGCATGAGACGTGGCTTAATATTTGCATTTAATCCAAAAGGCCAGATACAGGACTTCCCTCGTTAAGGAAGTCGAACAAACAAAGCTTTTGGTTTATGATTTTATGTTATACTTTTGATCGTGCCGTGTCAGGGCACTTCCTTGTAGATAGGTGAGGTCTGTATACTTGGATTGAAGCATATTCAGGCGAAAGGTGGTGGAATGTAACCGAGTAACCTGTCTCAGTCAGCAAATGCAGCACAATTACCCACGTTTCTGTAACCTATGCCTCCAAACAAACAAGGAGGGAATTTCAACAATGAGAAGACTTAAAATGTCCTATTGCTTCTCATCTGGATGGTGCTCATTGAATTCCATATTACACTGAGTGAATCTCATCTGATAACTTGAATAATCAGGTTGGGTGAAGATTAAGAAGTGTCGCAGAATTATTTCACAGGGAGTGTAATTGCCTGAAGGGTAGGGTAAGTGAGGAAATGATCTGACGGAACCAAAAAAATGGCATTTCTAATAAAATACGTTAACTTCGGCCCTAAGGACTATCTGGCTCTTTAGATGTTTACTACCCAAATTTGCTGTGGTAAAATGCTCCGTTAAACTGAATGAATGCTTCAATTCCCAGTATTTCGGTAAATAGGTCATGCCCCATGTACATTATAAGAAGAACAAGCATTTCAGCTGTTTAGAAAATTTTTTTTACTACAATGGCCTGCTAGCACAAACATTTATAGTTAGCCTCCCGGGAATACCACTGAGTCCTTCGTGCTTGAATTACACGGCTCTTTGCAAGTCCTTAGGCAATCTTACAACACATTTTACATTATGGGATTATGTGCGACATGCTCCATCTCACTTAAATGGAACACGTGGTCACATCGCCCAAATAATTTTTATGTAAAATTAGCGCAAGAAAAAGCGTACTTTTGTCCTACTCTCAACTTATCTAGATCGCACTTCGAGAGCCCTGCACAACGATCACATTCACACCACGAACCGCGAGGTCTTTGAAGCGACCAATCGATACCCCAGCGCCTCGCGACTCTCAACCCGACGCTCCTTATATTATGTATTGCTTTTCTGTGTAATTACCGGGATTTGATAAAGACAGCATTCTTTAGTTAATCCGAATTAAAATCGAAGACACTCGTGCACACGTGTGAGGAGACTAGAGGATGAAGGAGCTGTGTACGTTCTTCGTCGGGCAGGCGGGTGTACAAGCAGCAAGTGCGGTATGGGAAATGCTGTGTCTAGAGCATGGCGTGTGCCGCGATGGCACCATCCAGTATGAACCCACTTTGCAGGAGCATAGGGAACTGAACACTGTTTTTGAAGAACTCACCCCTCACGAAAAATACGTCCCACGTGCAGTATTAGCCGACTTGGAACCCTCAGTTATTGGTATGCTATCCATTTAAGCTATTACAGGGTTCCACTTTACATTGCAATGGCGTGAAGTTGATAAGTGAGGTAGCAAGTGAAATGATTTTCAAACTACCTTGGTCAGCTGTAAATCGCGCTTTGGCACTTTTATCCTAAATTAGAACAGGTAGGTGAGCTTAATTTCGCATTACTCAAAGCTATCTATGTCCAGTGAAATGCAGCATAATATGAAACGCATATCGCTAATTCTCAATCTAGTTACACATTGTATTGGCACCTAAAATAACCAAGATACTCCACAATAAACTAAAAGACTCACGAGCGATCGCCTAGCTAGCGAAAGGAAGCAGATAAATTAAAGCTACTTCTGAACTCTCAGAACGCAGTGCTAGAGTCTCTTACCGAGACTATCATAAAAAATATGATATTCAACTTCCAGAC